ACAAAATGTTCACTGGATTGAATTAACAGCAGATTGAAGATGGCAGAACAGTTATTAAAGTTAGAGCATTAGAAATTATCCAGTATGAAAAATAGAGAAAAAAGTATTGTGGAAAAATAAGCAAAGCCTTGGAATATTTGAATAATGGATGAAAACATCCCAAATTTAGTGAAAGACATCAACCTACAGATCCAAAAAGCTCAACAAACCCCAAACAAGAACACCACCTTTAGGCATACCATAGTCAGATCACTGGCACACAAAGAGAAAATCTTAAAAGCAGCCAGAGAAAAATAATACATTACATATAGAATAAAAAAAAAACACCATTAAGAAAATGAAAAGGCAAGTGAAACTGGGAGGAAATATTTATAAAACATATCCGACAAAGGACTTGTATCCAGACTGAAAAATGAAAACAAAACAACTTGCTAACCAAAAGAAATAACCTAATTTTTTTTAAAAAAATGAGTAAAAGATTTGAACAAACGCTTCATAAAGGAAGATTTACATTGGCCAATAAGTACAAAGAAAGGGCTCAGCATTTGTCATCAAGGAAATGCATTTTAATACTACAAGGAGATGTCACTTCATACATTCTAGAATGGCTAAATTAGAGACTGACAACAGTACATGCGAACCAACCAGATGTTCACATATTGCTGGAGAGAATAAAACAGTACAACCAGAGCTCACTTTGGCAGCACATATACTGAAATAACAAAATGGCACAACTGGCCCAGCACAGTGGCTCATGCCTGTAATCCCAACATTTTGGGAGGCCAAGGTAGGAGGACTGCTTGAGGCCAGGAGTTCAAGACCAGCCCAAACAACAAAGCAAGACCCTCTCTCCACCAAAAAAAAAAAAAAAAAGCCAGGCATGGTGATACATATATGCAGTCCCAGGACTCTGGAAGGTAGAGGCAGGAGGATTGCTTGAGCCCAGGTGTTGGAGGCTGCAGGGAGCTATCATCCACCTCAGAGCTCCAGCCTGGGCAACAGAACAAGACCCTGTCTCTTAAAAAAAAGGATCTGTGGCCAGGCGCGGTGGTTCACACCTGTAATCCCAGAACTTTGGGAGGCCAAGCTAGGCAAATCATGGATCACCTGAGGTCAGGAGTTCAAGACCAGCCTGGCTAACATGGTGAAACCCCATTTCTACTAAAAATGCAAAAAATTAGCCAGGCATGGTGGCACACACTTGTAATCCCAGCTACTCGGGAGGCTGAGGCAGGAGAATCGCTTGAACCCAGGAGGTGGAGGTTGCAGTGAGCCGAGACCATGCCATTACACTCCAGCGTGGGCAATGACAGCAAAACTCTGTCTCCAAAAAAAAAAAAAAAAAGTACCTCAAAAATGACTTAGAATCATACAGTGGAATATTACTACTACTCCACAATAAAAAGGAATGAACTATTGATCCATGTACAATATGGATGAATCTCAGACAATATGGTGAATGAAAGAAGCTGGACCAGCTGGGTGCAGTGGCTCATGCCTGTAATCCCAGCACTTTGGGAGGCTGAGACGGGAGGATCACCTGAGATTGGGAGTTCGAGACCAGCCTGACCAACATGGAGAAACCCCATCTCTACTAAAAATACAAAATTAGCCAGGCAGGGTGGCACATGCCTGCAATCCCAGCTACTCGGGAGGCTGAGGCAGGAGAATAGCTTGAACCTGGGAGGCAGAAGTTGCGGTGAGCCAAGATCGTGCCATTGCACACCAGCCTGGGCAACAAGAGCAAAACTCCATCTTTAAAAAAAGAAAGAAAGAAAGAAAGAAGCTGGACCAAATGAATATTCACTTTAAGAGTCCATAAGTTTAAGATTTAAAAAATGAGTAATTAAAAAACATGAAGATGGGTCAAACATACATAGAGTCAAACAGAACTTCAGACTTGATACAGAATGGCAATAGAGGCTTGCTCCAAGCAGTTAAGCAGGAAACTACTTGCCAAGTGTGATTCAATACTTCATAGAGAGTAAATTTTACTTTTATAAGCATTTTAAAAATGAAAACTCCTTAAGAGTAGCAAATGTGTTTAACTTGATTTGTTTTGGAGATATCTTAACACAGGTGAAATGTGTACAAAAGTTTTTACAGCAATGAAGACAAAGGCATGGATAATGTAAGATGACAATAAAACTTCTTTAAAAGTGGTTCTGATTTCAAGTAAAAGAACAAGAGACTATAGATGTCAGAAGAGGCCAAAAGGTGAATAATGTGAACACAATTTCAACATAAATAATCTTAACAGAGATTAAAATATAGGATTAATAACATAAAGGATGTTGTGTATCTGATCCAATGTCAGACCTACCATCATATATTGCTTAACAACAGGGATACATTCTGATAAATTCATTGTTAGGTGATTTTGTGTTGTGCAAACATCACTTACACAAACCCAGATGATTTAGCCTACTACACACCTAGGCTGTACAGTACAGTCTATTGTTCCAAGGCTACACACATGTACAGCATGTTATTGTACTGAATAGTGCAGGCAACTGTAATACAATGCTAAATATTTGTGTACCTAAACATCAAAAAGGTACAGTAAAATATGGTTAAAATATGCGTAATTAACTATTCCTGTACCCTCTCCTTACACATGTAAAATGCAGATTCAGGCTAGGCATGGTGGCTCATGCCTTTAATACCAGCACTTTGGGAGGCCAAGACAGGCAGATCACCTGAGGTCAGGAGTTCAAGATCAGCCTGACCAACATGGAGAAACCCCATCTCTACTAAAAATACAAAATTAGCTGGGTATGGTGGTACATGCCTATAATCCCAGCTACTTGGGAGGCTGAGGCAGGAGAATTGCTTGAACCCGGATGCAGAGGTTGCAGTGAGCCAAGGTCACGCCATTGCACTCCAGCCTGGGCAACAAGAGCAAAAACTCCATTAAAAATATATATGTGTGTGTGTGTGTGTGTGTGTGTGTGTGTGTGTGTGGTTTAGGGAACACTTACTCTATTTTATAAAATGAAGTGTTACCTGATTCTAGAATCACAAAGCCAATTGGGATCTTCAAGTACACACAGACACACACACACAGTTTAAAAGCAAAGGTATACCTGTATAGGGCATTTACCATGCATAAAACTTTCAGGACTGAAGTCGCTCTGGGTGAGTCAGCGAATGAGTGTTGAGCAAATGTGAAATTCTAGGACATTACCATACAGTACTGTATACTTATAAACACTTTACACTTAGGCTCCACTAAATTTATTAAATTTTTCTTTCTTCAATAATACATTAACCTTAGCTTACTATAACTTTATTTGATAAACTTTTACATTTTAACTTTTTGACTTTTGTAGTAACACTTAGCTTAAAACACAAAACACTGTACAGCTGTGAAAAAGTATTTTCTTTGTTGGGCACGGTGGCTCACACCTGTAATCCTAGCACTTTGGGAGGCCAAGGCAGGCGATTGCCTGAGCTCAGGAGTTCGAGACCAACTTGGGCAACACGGTGAAACCCTGTCTCTACTAAAATACAAAAGAAATTAGCCGGGTGTGGCACATGCACCTGTGGTCCCAGCTACTCTGGAGGCTGAGGCAGGAGAATTGCTTGAACCCGGGAGGCAGAGGTTGCAATGAGCCAAGATTGCACCACTGCACTCTAGCCTAGAAAACAGAGTGAGAATCTGTCTCTACAAAAAATAAATAAATAAAAATAAAAATAAAGTATTTTCTTTATAGCCTTATTCTTTTTTTTTTTTTTTTTTTGAGACGGAGTTTCGCTCTTGTTACCCAGGCTGGAGTGCAATGGCGTGATCTCGGCTCACCGCAACCTCCGCCTCCTGGGTTCAGGCAATTCTCCTGCCTCGGCCTCCTGAGTAGCTGGGGTTACAGGCACGAGCCACCATGCCCAGCTAATTTTTTTGTATTTTTAGTAGAGACGGGGTTTCACCATGTTGACCAGGATGGTCTCGATCTCTTGACCTCGTGATCCACCCGCCTCGGCCTCCCAAAGTGCTGGGATTACAAGCTTGAGCCACCGCGCCCGGCCTATAGCCTTATTCTATACGTTTTTTTTTTTTTTTTCTATTCTTTTTTTTTTTTTGAGATGGAGTTTTGCTCTTGTTACCCAGGCTGGAGTGCAATGGCGCGATCTCGGCTCACCGCAACCTCCGCCTCCTGGGTTCAAGCAATTCTCCTGCCTCAGCCTCCTGAGTAGCTGGGATTACAGCACGTGCCACCATGCCCAGCTAATTTTTTGTATTTTTAGTAGAGACGGGGTTTCACCATGTTGACCAGGATGGTCTCGATCTCTTGACCTCGTGATCCACCCACCTCGGCCTCCCAAAGTGCTGGGATTACAGGCTTGAGCCACCGCGCCCGTCTTTTTTTTTTCTATTCTTAAAAAATTTTAAACTTAAAAATTTTTAAGGGTCCAGATTATCAAGATGTCACCAGGCGATCGAAATTTTTCAGCTCCATTACAATCTTATGGGACCACCATCCTATAAGCAGTCTGTCATTGACATAAACATCATTATTCAGCACATAAGTATATTTCAGATTTAGAGTTTTACTTTGCTATTCTTTTTTTTTTTTTTCCTGAGATGGAGTCTCACTCGGTCGCCCAGGCTGGAGTGCAGTGGTGCAATCTCACCTCACTGCAACCTCTGCCTCCTGGGTTCAAGAAATTCTCCTGCCTTAGCCTCCCTAGTAGCTGGGATTACAGGCACCCACCACCATGCCCAGCTAATTTTTATATTTTACTAGAAACAGGGTTTCACCATGTTGGCCAGGCTGGTGTCAAACTTCTGATCTCAAGCAATCCACCCGCCTCAGCCTCACAAAGTACTGAGATCACAGGTGCGAGCCACTGCTCCCCACCTGCTATTCATTTTTTAAATTCTGGCTACAGTAACTACCCTATGCTAAATTTTATCTTATTCAAATACATTTACTATGGTGGGGGGGACGGTGGTGGAGCGGGGGATGTTCCTAGTAATGAAAGAAATTCCCGCTCATTACCTTGTCCTGAAGAGTTTGCTGCCATTTTCCTATTTTGTTTCAATTATGTCCAGTGGCAGTTGGTCAGCACTTCACAATCATCTGTAAAATATGTGTACACACATATACAATGTACCATATTTTAATCACAGACTAAAAGGAACAGCTAGCCTTGTTACAATGCAATGTTGGAATCTCCTCAGAAAGATACATTTGAAATGTACACGGACTGATATCACAAATTTAAACTCTGCTAGTGCCTCAAGCATTTAATACTGCATTGTTTATTCTTGCAGATGTTCATACCATTTAGCATTACTGTCTTTAATAAACATCATTAAGTTGTATTTACCAAATATATCAACCAATTGATAGAGTCAATCATGGTGCTAGGAAGAAAAATCATTCATTTATGGTGCCTCTCCATTCATCTAAAACACATACCCAGCAACGGTGTACACTGAAAGCTAAAAAAGGAAAAGGAGCACTGTACCTGCTCTGCACCATACACTATGTAAGATGCTCGAAATTAGTTCCTTTATTTATTTATCACCATTTTATAGATGAGGAGACCATCCCCAGGGTCATAGAGCTAATAAGAATTCTTTGGGCTGCTGGTTTCCAAACTTCGTGCTTTAGTACTAAATCCTGGGGAGATCCAAGATGAGCAAGACCCTCTCCTGCTCTCAAAGAACATATAACCTGATGGAAAAATAAAGTCTTATTCAACCAGCCATACTATTAATAATTTTTAGAAGAGCTTAAACAAACGCTCTCTTTAAAAGGTGGGCACAGTGCTGGAGGCAAATAATTGATTCCATTGGGAGCAAAGAGTGATGCCTTAGTCTAGAGAGCCCGGGAAAGGCACAAGGGATGGAAAACAGACACCGGTTTTTAATAAATGAATCGTTAGATGTCTCCTACGGCTGAAGCACAGAACGGGCAATGCCGGGTTAGGACTGGAGGACAATAGGGCCATCTTGTGACAGGGCTAGACAGGCGTGCCAGAAAGGTCTTTGCCCGCGGGCGTGCAAGGCCGGCTGAGCCTGGGCTGTGAACGAGACGAAGGAAGCAAGTAAGAGCGAGAAATGCTGGGTGGCAAGGTCGGAGGGGAGGCCGCTGCCTGTAGCAACAAAGACAGCGGCGGCAGGTCTGCACCGGGGCCACACTTTTCTATCCTCCGGTGCCACCAGGCTGTCGTACTTACCTGGGACGCTAGGACGCCGGGACCGCCTCGACACCCAGTAGCTGCTCTTAAAGGGGGCGCGACCACTTAGGCAAAAGGAGCTCAACTCGGCAGCACTACAACCTTCCCGCCCCCGCTGCGCTTCCGCCTCCTGACTGACGTGCGCCCCAGGGAGCGGAAACCCCGCCTCCCGCCGGGACCCAACGGCCACCGCCCTTCGTGATTCGCATTTTAGCTGCCACCTCAATGCAGACGTCACTTTTTTTTCCAAAGAATGACAGTCGAAGAGGCTCACGGGAGATGTAACCGGTACTTTTGGGGGCGGGACCTGCGTGGGGCGTGGTCCGGGGCGGGGTAGGGGCGGGGCTGCTAGGCAGGGGCGGGACGGAGAATACCTGGGTCCCTAGCACCAAAGCTGCGTTTTTCTCCCTTGCCACTGCCTGGCCGATTGGCGACGGTGCGAGTGCACCTCGGCCTCGGAGAAGAGAGTCCAGAGGCTAGGGTCGCTCTCGAGCTTTAACAACCATGTCAGATTTCGCATCTGCACACACACACACACACACACACACACACATCCAGGAATATTTTTTGTCCACAGTTTACATAATTACACACAATGAAAGCATTGAATATGGAGAATTTTATTACAGTGCAATAATCTATATTTAAGAAGTGGGTGTGCCAGATCGCAGAACACCAAGATACTATTAGTGGGATCACCTTCTTCCCGCCTAATTCTAGCACAATAGGTGTCTACACATTTGCATTAAAGGGTAATTTTATATCGACATGTGTTCAAATTGCACTTTTTTAATTTAAAAAAAAAATGGTTTTTTTGTAGAGACAGTTTCTCACTTTGTTGCCCAGGCTGGTCTTGAACTCCTGGCCTCAAGGGATCTGCCCACTTAAGCCTCCCAAAGTGCTAGGATTACAGGTGTGAGCCACCCTGCCCTGCTTAAAATTTCAGTTTCTTAATCTCTTCCGAAAGATACATTTGGAAAACACACAGACTTAAATCACAAATGTAAGCTCCCCAAGCGCCTCAAGCATTTAATTAAATAGAATGGATAATGAATTTGAACATATGTTTTTAATAATCGATGTTTGCTCAAGAGTAAAATGTTTATGATGCACAATTTTCTCGTACATGGATCAATGACTGAAATAATCGTTTCAATACCAAGTATTTACTCAAAACCAAGCATTTATTTACTCTATACCAAGCAGCTGTTGAGTACCTTCTACAATTCGAGGTGCTTCCTGTGCATCAGCTCTGGTTCTGTTGTTCCCTGATTTATATTTGAGACTCATGTTTCTTGCTCTATGTCAAGTAGCCAGCTGAGATTCAAATTGAAAGTTCTGCCAGATATTAAGGCACAAGTTCTTAAATCTCACACATTGCCTCTGCTCTGGAGGAAGGAATTCCTCTGAGACCATTTCTTGCTGACTTGACTTTAATCCAGATAGAAAGCCTAACACATTAGCATTTTGATGATAGGCCAAGAGCCCTTTGGACTTTGTGAATTCTAGTATGACTAAAAAGATGACTGAGCTCTATATGGCTGATAGAACCTTAGAATTTTTTTCTGTTTTGTGGCCTAGCTAGACAATATAGAAACTAGGGCACAGAAAGTTCCAGTCTAAGTGTCAAATGGACATTCTGAACAAAGTTTATTTATAAGGGGTGAAAAGAGAGTTCTAACCCTAAGCAACATTTTATAATTTCGTAGCAAATTCAGCCTCTGAGAGTTGAAAGAACATTGTCAGAAGAAAGATAAATTTAACTTGCTGCCCATTCTTTTGCCTTTTACTTGGTAGGGTCTAACCCTTGAAACCCTTCTTTCTTCTCCTAGAGTTTTTGGAACTTCTGCCTCACTGTGTTAGCCTCTAACACATGGTTAATAGTGGGTCAGTTTACTTGAGTGCAAATCCCAGCTTTAACATTTAATGATGGTGAGCCCTGGTTTCGCCTTTTGGCATCTCTGTTCTGTCATCTATAAAATGAGAATAAAAATAAATGATTGGGTATATGTAAATCACTTAGAATAGCACCTAGCACATAGTAAGCACTCAATAAATGTTGGCGATTAGATTATAAACAATGAACAATCTGTTTTACTGGGTATCTTTGCAAGTGGTCAGTAGGTCAGCTGAGCCTGGGTGTGGTGGCTCATGCCTGTAATCACAGCACTTTGGGAGGCCAAGTCAGGAGGATTGCTTGAGACCAGCCTGGCCAATATAGTGAGACCTCATCTCTAGAAAAAAATTAAAAATTAGCCAGGCATGCTGGTGCGTGCCTGTGGTCCCAGCTATTTGGGAGGCTGGGGTAGGAGAATCGCTTGAGTCTTGGAGGTCAAGCTATGATTTTTGCCACTGCACTCCAGCCAGGGCTTGCAATCAGAGGGGCAGTTTAAAAATGATCGGCAATAGGCCAGGCACAGTGGCTCATGCCTCTAATTCCAGCACTTTGGGAGGCCAAGGTGGGTGGATCACACAGTCAAGAGATCGAGACCATCCTGGCCAACATGGTGAAACCCCGTCTCTACTAAAATACAAAAATCAGCTGGACGTGGTTGCACATGCCTGCAGTCCCAGCTACTTGGGAGGCTGAAGCAGGAGAATTGCTTGAACCTGGGAGGCAGAGGTTGCAGTGAACCGAGATCACACCACTACAGTACAGCCTGGTGCCTGGCCACAGAGCGAGACTCTGTCGAAAAAAAAAAAAAATAATAACAATTATTAGCAACTTCAGGGTGATTCTCCCACTGTCTTGATGACTAGCACCTGGCTCCCTTCTATTCCTACTAATCTTGTTACCAAAGGTAGCTTGGCCATATCCTTGGTTTTCTTCCATATATATATATGTATATATATATATACATATATATATATATATATACATATATATATATATTTGTGGTTTTTTTTTTAATTTTATTTTTACCCAGTAGTGCAATCTTGTCTCACTGCAACCTCCACCTCCCGGGTTCAAGTGATTGTGCTGCCTCAGCTTCTTGAGTAGCTGGGGCTACAGGCATACACCACTATGCTTGGCTAATTTTTTGTATTTTAGTAGAGACATGGTTTCACCATGTTGGCCAGGATGGTCTTGATCTCCTGACCTAGTGATTTCCCAACCTTGGCCTCCCAAAGTGCTGGAATTACAGGCATTAGCCACTGTGCCTGGCCCAATATATATATATATTTTATTCTTTACTTTGCCAGGCTGAGACTTTTCCCTATCTTTATATTATGCTTCCCTTTGGATTATAAATTTCATTTTTAAATCATTTCTCTCTTCTTGTATTTTACTATAAACAGTTAAGAGAAGCCACACAGTACCCTGACATGAATGTTCTGCAGCATAGAGATTTCTTCTGCCAAATATCATAGTTCCTCACTCTTTTTTTTTTCTTCTTCTGAGACAGAATTAATTTCACTCTTGTTGCCCAGGCTGGAGTGCAATGGCATGATCTCAGGTCACTGCAACCTCTGCCTCCCAGGTTCCAGTGATTCTCCTGCCTCAGCCTCCCAAGTAACTGAGATTACAGGTGCCCACCACCACCTGGCTTATTTTTGTATTTTTAGTAGACACAGGGTTTCACCAAGTCTACTTGTTTAGTAGACACAAGGTTTCATGTTGGCCAGGCTGGTCTCAAACTCCTGACCTCTGGTGGTCCACCCGCATTGACCTTCCAAAGTACTGGGATTACAGACGTGAGTTGTCATGCTCCAGCCTCATCACTCTTAAGTTCTGCCTTCCATGAAGTCTTGGGACACAAATATAATTCAGTCGAGTTATTTGCCATATTATAACAAAGATGACCTTTCCTCCATTTTCCCATACTTTGTTCCTCATTTCTATCTGAAACTTCATTTGAATGAAGTTTCACATCTATATTTTTACCAACATTCTGTTCACAACAACTTAAATAATCTTTTACAAGATTCAGACTCTCCTACAACTCTCCTCTTCTTCTGAGCCCTCACCAGTCACTCTTAATGCTCTGTTCATGGCAATACAAGCTTTTTTTTTTTTTTTTTAATTATTATAGAGACAGGGTTTCACCATGTTGGCCAGGATGGTCTCCATCTCCTGACCTCGTGATCTGCCTACCTCGGCCTCCCAAAGTGTTGGGATTACAGGCGTGAGCCACCTTGCCCAGCCAATACAAGCTTTTTATTCACCATTCACTTCACAGCTGTTGAAAGCCACTTCCACATGTTTACATGTTTAGGTCTTTGTTATAGCAACACCTCACTCTTCTGGTATCAATTTCTGTCTTTGTCCATTTTGTGCTGCTACAACAGAATATCTGAGATTCACTAATTTTTTTTCTTTTCTTTTTTCTTTCTTTCTTTTTTTTTTTTTTTTTGTGGAGACTGTGTCTCACTCCATTGCCCAGGCCAGAGTACAGTGGCGTGATCTTGGCTCACTGCAATCTCTGCCTACTAGGTTCAACCAATTTTCGTGCCTTACCCTCCTAAGCAGCTGGGACTACGGGCATGTGCCACAACAGCCAGCTAATTTTTTTGTATTTTTAGTAGAGAGGGGGTTTTGCCATGTTGGCTAGACTGATCTTGAATGCCTGACCGCAAGTGATCTGCTTGCCTCAGCCTCCCAAAGTGCTGGGATTACAGGCATGAGCCACCGTGCCTGGCCAGGATTGGGTAATTTATTAGGAACAGAAGGTTTTTTTTGTTTTGTTTTGTTTTTTTTCTGTAGTCTGGAGGCTGGGAAGCTCAAAATCAGAGCACCTGCATCTGGTGCTGAGTGAGGGCCTTCTTGCTGTGGCCTGATGTAGGAGAAGAGCAGAAGAGAGTAAACCCACTCACAGAAGCCCTTCATATAGTGGCATTAATTTGTTCATGAGGGCAGTGTACCTGTGACCTAAACGTCTCCCTTTAGGTCCCACCTCCTAACACTGTTGCATTTTCAACATGAATTTTTGAAGGGGATAAAAACATTCAAACTGCAGCACACTGTGCAACTAATATGCCAATCAGCATTACTGGGCTATCAAAGTTCAAAGTGTTTGCTCTTCTGAAACTATTGCACTGGCATTGTTAACAGTTCTACAGCAGGGTGCAGTGGCTCAGACCTGTAATCCTGGCACTTTGGGAGGTCAAGGAGGGCAGATCACCTGAGGTCAGGAATTTGAGATCAGACCAGCCTGACCAACATGGAGAAACCCTGTTTCTAGTAAAAAATACAAAATTAGCTGGGTGTGGTGGTGGATGCCTGTAATCCCAGCCACACAGGATACTGAGA